ACCTCAAGATCCAGCCATTCCTCTCTTGAGTATATACCCAAATACTGCATGTTCATACAACAAGGACATATGTTCAAACATGTTCATAGCAGCATTGTTCATAATAGCCAGAACCTGGAAGCAACCTAGAAGCCCCTCGACTGAAGAATGGATTGAGAAAATGTGGTGCATTAACTAACATTCTAAGAACACTGAGGGGAAGCAGGACTTGCCTGAGTCCAATGTAAACTTTGTACCTCTCTTGTAGAAATTGCAAACCACAATAGGAAGATCTCAGCTAGCTTGTTATAACATGGTTACCTGATGTCATTTTGCAATGATGCCAGGTGTCACACTCCTTGGCACTAAGTTGTCAGGGTCTTTGGCCAAATAGGCTGGGTGATCATTGTGAGGGGGGTGACTTAAATGATCTCTGGAAAGCTTTGCATGGAACTCTGACCTCAGGGTTTAGGCTGCAATGATTCTCTATCTGCTGCAGTTAATCTAAATTGATTGTTAAGGTGTCTTAGTGTTCTTTACTTTATTCTGCTACAGAGATCTACCATAGACTTTTATCAGTAGACATTAAACTTTGAGAGACAATTCAATGAATTCCTTTTCATCTAGAACTCAGAATTGATGACCCAGCTACATATTAATTCATTGCTTATCATTGACTCATTTCTCAGGAATTAAGACTTCTGGGCAATCGAAACTAAAGAATTTATAGGAAAAAGCTCATTTTCTAGACAGGATTAGCGATGCAGCTGAGGCTGAGGTTGAAAGTTCTGCCCTCCAATCCCAGCCCATGGAGTGCTGGAATTACAGCTGAGCATCACCACACCTGGCTCAGACTCCAGAACACTTGAGTGTAGTCATTGCTAAGATTTTGAGTTGTCCACACACCTCATTTATTTGAAATCCATGTATGTAGCTGTAGGAAAAAAAGACATCATGTCTGGATAAACTACATTTTGTAGGGTGGTATCCTGATCCTGAAGACAGTTGTCATTCAGCTGTGGCTGTGTTCTCTGTAACCTCTCCCACAATGTTTCAGGGCAACTCCTCCTGCAAAATATGACAAATGAATCCATTCTTGCATTTCTGCCAAGGTAAAATATATATGTTGCTTAAAAGCATTGTATTAGGTGCTTTTCTATTACTGTGGTAAAACACCATTACCAAGACAACTTCTAGGAGAAAAACTGGAGTTCCATGGGTGGCATCAAGTGGTAGGAGTGTCATCAGGAGCAGAGAGCTGAGGGTTCACATCATTTACTTTAATCACACACACACACACACACACACACACACACACACACACACACCAGGGCGTGAGGGGAGAGGGAGGAGGGAGACAGGGGGAGAGAGTGAAGAGGGACATGAGGGAGGGAGATTGGGAAGGGTGGGAGTCTTTAAACCCTCATAGCTTGCCGCAGAGATGTACTTTGTCCACCAGAGCCTTATTTCCTAACATCCCCAAACAGCATCACCAACTAGGAACGAGGTGCTGAAATACATGACCTTATGGGAACATCCTCACTAAAATATACCCACAGGTAAGTGTCTCAGGACACAAATACTGACAGAAACTTTATATTCTCTATGTCCACAGTAGGTGGTGCTGGCAGAAGCATGATGTTGGACAGGAAAATGGGGGTATACCAGCATGTATTCCCCCGGGAAAAAAAAAAACAAGAAGATCTTGTGTGCTTGTGTCTGATCTGTGTCCTTCACGGTGTCTCATGGCTCTCTCTGGCTTGCTGGGATGGACTACAATGGCCTGAGGAGCAGAGAAGTTGGGTCTTGATGAGTTGAAGTATTTCCTTTCCCAGGAGCTGAACATCAGTACAGAGATTCAGGGAAGCAGAGAAAGCTCTTTTGCAAATGCTGAGGGTGAGAGATCCTTCCACAGAGCAGAGGAATGTGAAGCAGTCAGTGTTTAAGGCATTTCCTGCCTCTGAATCTACTGCAATATGTGCTCAAGGGAGCAAAGCCAGGTGCCTTTGAAAGCTTTCTCCATGCAGCTGAGGGAGGAGTCCAGGGTTTTCCTCTCCAGGGGAAGTCTGAGCATGGGCTCATCTTTTGTGTGGGATGCCAGCAAGTTACTGACCAGAGATGAGATGACATTGAGGTCACTTTTGCCTTGGTGGCCTGGGAATCCTAGGCTCAGTTCAGGCTCTGTCCTAACATGGTTGATGCTGTTTGTTGGGTCAGTTACTATCTTTGGTAGAATTGTATTTATCTCCTCTATAAAAGATACACTGCAACGGTTTTTGAAGTTATTTTAAGCCATAGAACCATCTTCCCAAAGTAAACTTAACAGGTAAACTGAATACATATGTGACTGTATGAGTTCTAAAATATATGTGTCTTTGATTCTATACTCTTTGTTTGTTTTTTCTCTAATGAGGTATGTCCTTAGTGTGTCTCCAGGGAAGGGTTTATTTTACAGTTATATTGTAAGACCCGCTCGGAATGCTTCTGCATGCCCCCTGCCCTCTGTCTTCCCCGCCTGTGCTGGTGCTGGGTGTTCTCTCTGGAGCAGGCGGGAGGAGCGGATGACTGAGGGCAGCGCGGCGGGGACTAGCAGGGCAGGGCCAGGGTTCGGCCAGGGGCTGGAGAATGCAGCGTGGGCGGCGCCTGGAAGGGGAACTTGAGCTGGGAGAGCAGCGGTGCTGCTTGTCCAGGAGCTGCGAGCGGGGAGCCACCTCCAAGGCCAAGGACACGGGGGCCGCGGAGCTGCCGGGGCCTCCCAAGCCTTCACCCCGGCAGGGCTCGCGCGTTGTACCAGACACCAGACCTTGAGAATATGCTGATCTGGAATGGCTCTGTGTCTCATTTGAACCATCCAATAGAAATGATTCTGTGTTTTACCTCATTTGAATGACTCTGTATTTCACCTCATTTGAATAACTCTGTACAATGCCTCATTTGAATAACCCTGTATAGCGCCTCATTTACATTGACCAATGGGAATAGCTCTGTACAATGCCTCATTAGAATTATCCAATAGAATCCCTGCTTCTAGTTTGCCCCTTTTTCCCTATATAAGGACCCCTTTCCCTTGGCTCGGCACACTTAGCCACACAGAAGCTAAGTCGCCCGGGTACCCGTATTTTCAATAAAGCCTCTTGCTTTTGCATCCAAGTCCGTGGTCTCGCTGATTCCTGGGTGCGGGTCTCCTTCTACGAAAGTACCTCTTCGGGGGTCTTTCAATATAACAATCAGAAACTGGGTGCCACCTACATCTCTTCCTACATAAAGTTTCCTGACCCAAAGGGAGATTTTACTTCATCTTCCCGAAGAATGTGACACTCCGTCTATTTGTGACAGAGAGACATAGGCTGTACCTACCAGTAATGTTATCTGTTAAGTGTCTGACGGGACAGGACTCTGAGCCAAAGAGGCTTGAAGTTCTAAGTTTATTTAAGTTAATTTAAACATTTTTTAGTTTGTTTGTTTTGACTGGTCTTGGGCTCAGAGATCTGCCTGCCTCTGCTTCCCAGTGCTAGAGTAAAGTATGAGAAACCATGCCTGGCAGCTTGGATTTTCTTAGCATTGTGAGCCCAACACAGGGACATTTTTATTTAACAAATAGCCACACATTCTGGCTACAGTCTCATGCCAACACTTGTCTTAACAATAAGACAAGTAGTCTTAGGAACTATGGAGGTAGCAGTAACCTAAAATGTCTAAATAATACAGGTACTCTTCCACACCATTTTTTACTATTCTCCTTGTTTTGTGTTTAATTCTGTTTCTGAATTATGCCACTAAATATGTGCATCTCTTATGATTTAAATCTGCATAATAACTCTGTATCTGTTACCTTTAAAAATAAATACAACGAGACTGTCTTAGTTATTCTCTACCAACTTTCTGCTCTCCTGGGGAAAAAATGTTGATTTTCTCAATAGTATCCAAGTAGAAGCTAAGTGCCTAAAATCATTTCTAAACATCATACATTTCAGAGCTGACTGATGAAAAAGTAGACATTTCTAGTTTTGTTTATGTTTTCTCTTTTGTTTTTTGTTTTGTTTTTTACCACTGTGGTAAAAAACAAAGACAGACATAAGCCAGGTGTCCAGCAGGGATTCTCATCCTGGAGGCCAGCAGTGACTGAGATGAGCATGCTCAGAGCAGCTCATGTTTCTGGGTGACCCTGTGCTATGGATGCTGAGAACACAGGGGACTGAGGTGACTGGGAGGAACATATTAGAGCTGTGCATGTGCAGGATTCTGGAGAGAGACACTGAGTGCCCTGGCCTCCATGGACAATCTGTGATGCCACAACTAGCCTGGACCTCTGAGCAGTACCTCTCTGCCAGGGCCTAAGTTGCGCTGGCAACACAGGGCTGAGGCCCTAATGGAAGAAACCACACATAGCTTGGGTTGTGAAGGAGTAAGAGGTAGGAACATGGTCAGATCTACTGGGCTGTAAAGCACAGAAGTTGATAGCCTCATCTCAGTGGGCATGAAGACAAGAGGGTGGAGCTAGGAGGCCTGAGGAAGCTGGCCCTGTGTCCAGAGGAGGACAAGGAAACTTGTCCCAGATGTGGAGCAGCCCTTACTGAAAGAGCTGTCACTTAATGGGGAAGCTGTGGGACGGAGATACTGTGCCCATGGAGTCCCATCTACAGTGACCTCCGTCTCTAGTCATGGTGTCCAGGGTGATCTTCTCCCTCCTCTGTGTCATTGGAGGAAAGGAGAGGGAAAGCACCATTCATTGGTCTGGAGACATGGGAGACAGAGCTCACAATTATCTCTTGAAGGACTCAGCTTTGGGCCTATAAAAAGGCAGGCACTGGAGAGTAGGACAAGTAAAAAGTATCTGGACAATGGCCTTGACTGAGTTTTCGGGTATGGGGTGTATGTGGTGTTGGGGTGAGCAGAAACATGCCATTGGCCTGCTGGCACAGAGTTGATCCCCATGAATGCACAGGAAACCAGTCTTTCCATTGAGCAAAGAGACTTTATTGAGTTGCTGGCTTCTGTCCTAGGACAGCCCTGGACTCAGCCTAGGGAAGACGGTGAGTCAGGGAGGAGTCTGTTTTGCTCTGTTGTTTGTTGCGTTTCATAGTTTTCTTTATCCATGATAAGAAACTTGACACTCTCGTGAAGGCTCTTGGTGTTGAACTATCATTTTTTCCAAAGGATACGATGCCTGCAGCCACTTTCTTGCACACGAGAGGTCCTCCAGAATCCCCCTGTGAATAGAGAGGGGTTATAGGGGTCTGATCTGATTTCTCCCTAGTCCCAGCCTCCCTCTCCAGAAGGGTACCTTGTGTACTCTGTATGTGGGAGATGAGAGCTCAGGCCTGGTGTATAGATTCTGCTCTGATTGTGGACAGAGTTACTGCTTCACCTCCCTCTTGAGCCCAGCTCTGCCTTCTCTCCAAGTCTGTGATCCTCTTTGTATGAAGGTGTGTGGGACCCTCATCTCCAGGCCATTGTTTAAGATCCCAGGTACAGATGAGTGGGCCTGATATGAGCATGGGGGACAGGACAATTGACAAATATGGCTTCCTGCTCTGAGGAGACAGGTGTTTGTGGTGATGACATATAAGGAACACAGCTTTCTAAAGTCTGAGCCTGGTGTCAGGAGGACTGTGCAAATTCTCCTCCTATACCAGCTGTCTCAAAGAGACTCCTGGTCAGCTCCGAGGCCCTAGTTAGCTACTGGGTCGGCTGTTCCCAGGGAGAAGGGTCACAGCCAAGTAGTCCCCTGATGCTTGACTCTAGGTCCCAGTTAGCTTTTCCCCTCCCATGGAGCCAGTAAATGATGGCAATCCAACTTACTGAAAAGGAAGCACGCTTGATCGTTGGGTCCCCCGCACATATCTCAACAGCTTTGTTGTAATAATCTTGTAAATACGACTCACACTCCTGATCCTTCTGCACTATTAGTTCCACCTCTTGTAGTGCATTTGCAAAGTTGCCATTTACAGCCATCTTTCCCCAGCCAGCCACATAGCACATGTCCCCTGGCTTCACGTGGACCCCTCGCCTGGGCAGATTGAGGGGCCTCACAGCTTTAGTCCTCTTGGCCTTCCTCTTCAGCTGTTGGTTGAGAGGCAGAAGAGAGCAGCTCAGCCAGGAGCCTGCTGGCCTGGGACACTCTGAAAACCAGGATGGCAGGGAGAAAAGCAGGGAGAGAGGAGGAGAGGTGGGGCAAGCCATGGACCATGATGAGGGTAGCAGGTCTCACCTTTAACAGCATGATATCATTGAGGATCTTCTTAGAATTATAGTCAGGGTGTGGAATGGCCTTTGCCACAGGGATGATCTGCTGGGTCTCCTCCTTTTCTTTGATGTTGTGCGCCCCCAAGGTTACATTTATTGAGCTGTGAAGAGAGCAGAGTGTAGATGAGAGATGTGGTTTCAGAGAGGATGCAGCCCAGGAGGTGTGAAGGACAGGACATGCTGGCCATGGTAGTGCTTTAGCTGAGGGAAGCTCAGGGAACAGGAGTGACTATGCCTTGATCTACTTAGCTATAAAAATAGATCAGATCACAGACCAGCAGATGCACCAAGGTTCCCAGGTCAGTGTGCTAATAAAGCACTCTGCCTTGTTTGGTTTGCACTGCAATACTAACCCCCATCTAAATGTGCTTGATTTCTTGGCTGAGAATCTGGTGCCAGCCTGCTTCTCCTTCATCATACTTGCTTGGCCCTCTCTCATCCCAAGTCCCTTAGGAAGAGGGCAGGGTCTCTGTGTAAAGTCCCCAGGAGGGCCTGGACTGTTTCTTGCTGCTTACCTCCCTGAACAGTGAGCAGCCGTCAGCACAAAGTCCTCTCTTATGAGGAACCCACCACACCTCTTCAGAGTATCCCGATCCATGATCTGAAGATAAGCCATGTAGGGACGTGAGTGGGGCTTGGCTTCATGTCCCCCGATGATCTCGCCTAAAAGGAAAGCCAGCCTTTTTGTATGCACCTAATAGTTAACCAGATGAGCATTGTGTTCCAGACTTGTTAGGCATTTGGGAACCAGGGAGGACTGGAGTTAAGAGCAGGCTGAGAGGAGAGCCTTCAAGTCCCCCTTCTCAAAAAGGAGAGACAACTATGTCTTGGTCTACCAATCTTTTTTTCCCACATAGTTGGAGTAGCCTAAGTCTCTGAGCAAGGTAATGCTGAGGACTCAGCATGACTGTCCCCTGACTTCTGTACCCAGAGACTGTCTAACCATGCCCAGCTCCACAGCCCTGTGGTGCCTGGAACAGTGCTGTTTTCTAGGGACAAAAGCTTCAGCGTAAACTTTGTAGCATCCTATTTCTTCAGGCCTAGCATGTACTAGGTGCTCAATAAAGACCACTGGCTTCATGGGTGATGACTCCCCATTCATTCCTAGATGCAGGGACTGGCATTCTAGAAAGCAGCACAAGCTTGGGGCTTAAGCTTGAACACTGTTGGAACCAGCAAGAGCCGGGGATGCTCAGAGTTGAAGGACAGACCTCGTGGCTTGGGATTCAGCAAAAGCATTTACTCTGGGATGTAGGTTTCTTTGAGGAGTACTTGATGAGGGAATGCCTGGATCATTATAGATGAAGCCAGGCCCATTCTGCCTGCCCTGGGAGAACATACTGTTCTCTGCTTTGCAGGTCCCTACCCTTTACCATAGACTTCTAGGAAAATCCACTTTCCAGATGACAAGGTATGGCTCAGGGAGGGGCTAGCACTTTCTCTTCCTGAGAAAGGCCTTGGACTAACCACTACTGGTGACAGCGTCAAGCCACTAAGGGAAGTGTTGCTCACTCACCTGCCTTTGTCCCAGGGGGCAGAGAAAGAGCCAGCAGTAGCAGGAGGAACTTCATCTTCTCTGGAAGGCTGAGCAGGTCCCAGCACCTGGGGCTTTGCCCTTGCTCTCTTTTAACCTCTAGGAGATGAAGGAGGTGGAGTTGGCTCGGCGACCTTGTGCCCCCTCTGTTTTTATGATGCTTCATCACAGGGCTTTCTATGAAAGCCTTACTCTTACTGCTTCTGCCTGGTGAAGTCTTCTGAGTGTTGTGTGAGAATCATAAAGTAACCACCGCAGAACCCACAGCCAATGACTCAGAGAGCCGCCAGTTACAGCCCATGGCAGGAACACAAGGGTAGAGGGTGGGGCTTCTAGGGTTTGGTATCAGAGTCTCAGAAACCCAACTTCCCAGTAGTGGAACATCAGTGCTTTCAGTGTCACACTTCAGAGTCCATAAGGACAGGTGTGCATTTAGGCTCATCTCTTGTTAGGACCAAGTGTGAGCTGACCACCTAATGGGAAGTAACCAGGGGCATCCATGACCAGAATGCAGTTTGGGGAGGGCAATGGTAGAATGATGGACAAGGCAGTAACAGAGAGGTCTACCAAACACCTTCAGCCTATTTAGCACCATTGCTTCAAAAGTTCCATGTGACAAAGCCCTTTCTTATGAAAAACCCACATTTGACATTTATTGACCAAAGATGAGAGATTGCTGCAGGCTCTGAAGGTTGAACCACTGACTGACCAAAGCCTGAGTCATTTCTACTTCTTCAGGGAGACTGACATTTGTCCCAAGCAAACCTGTGAACTAAGGTTGGGAAAGATCTAGTTTCCCCAAGGATAGTCAGATCACTGAATTGCTGATATGGTGCGACATAAGAGAGCAAGCCAGGCAGCTAAAACTCAACAATTGTTCTCTCTCTCTCTTTCTCTCTCTCTCTCTCTCTCTCTCTCTCGCTGTGTGTGTGTGTGTGTGTGTGTGTGTATGTATGTGTGTATGCAGGTATTGGTGCATGTGTCTATATGTGTGTATGTAGTCAGAAGTGAACCTTGGGGGTCATTTTCAGCTTCCATCTGCCTTGTTTTGTGAGGCACAGTCTCTCACTTAGCTTGGTGATTAGGCTAAACTGGCTGGCCAGAGAACCTCAGGTATCTGTCTGTCTCCATCTCCCCAGAGCCCCCGTTACAGGTGTTATCACCACACCCAGCTTTTCAGTATGTTCTAGGTCCTCATGGTTGCACGTCAAACACTACCCACCAACTGTTTCCCCAAATTCCTCTTAGTATTTTTTGTATTCTGCCCAGAGAATGAAAAATATTTACTTATTATAAATAAATGCCCTTTATATTAAATATCAATAGATATTCCTTAAAAGTCAGACTGTAATAACAAAGGAACCAAGGAACCAAAATATCAACTCATGATACAGGGGCAAATCAATTCATTCCAGCATTAGAGACAGCACTGACTTTTTCATATAACACAACAAAATTTATCAAAAAAGGCCATGATTTCACCTATAATACCATGTAGACAATGGTTGTGACCCATACTATGAACATTCTCAATAATGTCATCTTTATCAATGTATCGAGTCACAGAGACTGTAGAGTCACACCATCATAGAATTTAAAACTTCTCATCTTTTTGGTTTTATTTCAGATTATTATTGATGACTGGAAACAAGTCATACAAAGTCAAAGGTACTTTAAATGTATCTTTCCTAAGAGGAAAATAATCATCAAATTTTAGTAAAGAAAATCGTCCACCATGCAATGAGTTTCTTAGCAGAAAAATAAAATTTTTGAACACACCATACACTTTTGACATAGGACTTGGAGGACTCAAGCTGGAAGCCTCCTCCTTGAGGACCAGCTCTCATAAAATCTGAAGGTGCTATGCAAGCTACCAATGCAAACAGCAATTACTAGTCCTACCTAGTTCTCAAACCACAACAATGACCATCACAGCAAGCTATACCCCAGGGTGCAATAGTGGCACTTACATCCTGGAGGCAGCTAACAGCTGTCTAATTAGACTTACAGCCCACTCAGTAGGAGGAATCCATGCCTGATACTATAAACCTAGTCAACCTACCTGTGGCTGTGGGGTCGTGGACCCCAATAGAGGAGAACCTACTGCTGACACCTAGACCAGTGCAATTACCTAGTGCATTCTATGTAACAAAACTCACATCACAGATGCGCGTAGCTCTCACTCCTCGTCAAACAAGCTTTGTTTGCAGCAGATGGAGACCATTACAGACATTCACACACTGGCCAAAATGCAGAGAAGAACTGACTGTGGGCTGCTCATCCCCAGCTGATATATTCACAACACCATTCCTATACACAAGGTTCTGAGAACATCACAGAAGTGGAGACAGAAAGATCATAAGAAGCAGAGGTCTAAGAGGTCTGCTGAAAGACAGTGTCTTCTAGACTCAGCAAGGATGCTGCATCCATGAAATCTAAACAAGATGGCTGTCAAAAAAAAACCTGAGGAATGATACCAGTTGGCAAGGGTCCCACTCCAAGATAAAGAGCTACAGTCAATTAATGGCTCATCTCTCTCAGGTCTCATGTGTGAATCTTCTGACCACATCTTCTTAGGATGTGGCAAATAGTTTGGTTTGGGGCAGGTAAGCCATAAACTGCCGAATCACTTACCAGAAGCTTCGGTTTATAAATGCAAACGTGTGGCTTTCTCTTTATTGTGCCTAATAATGCTTGTGTCATATCATCTTCAGTCATGGTGTGAAAACTCAGCTGTAAGCAACTCTAGTTATCTAGTTTCTCTTTCTCGGGCAATTAACTCACAAAAGACCCATGAATACACAGGAACATATAGGGGAACTGGGCCAGGTCTTCTCTATGAAAAACTGAATATTGTTATAATCTTTGGGAATTAGTGACAACATTGTTCTGAATACATTTCTACTTGTGAATCACCTATCAGAAACCCCAGTATGTCTAGAAATGCTAGGCACTTTTATTGTTTTCTCATTTTAAGTTTCCAAGTCTGGAAGGTTGAGGATTAGTTGGTAGGCATGGTAAATCTACCAAAGCACTGAATAGTTCCTAAGGGCTCTTAGAAATCACACATTTAGCTCTTTTTGCTATCATATATCAAAGATTTGACTAGGAGTATAACAAGCAACAGCACAAGTTACTCAACAACTCTTGGGGACACAATGAAGGGTTGTGTGAGCATATGCCTTTAGCTTAGCTCCTTCCTATCCAGAAATGCCACCTTTGACCCAGTCTTCACAGGAGGAAGGAGAATTTTAATTTTAATTTTCCCCATTGAGGTTATAAGAGTTAAGAAGGTGGGGGGGGGAAGCCCACTGCCAAGAGGATGCTCAGCTGAGTATCTGCTGGGTATTCCAGAAAAATGTCATGAATCTTATCAATTCTCAGATGAAAACTGTAGAAAAAAGATGAGATGGGGCAGTGGCACAGTGTGTGGTGTGTGTGTGTGTGTGTGTGTGTGTGTGTGTGTGTCTGTGTGTGTGTGTGTGTGTGTGTGTGTGTGTGTGTGTGTGTACGAGCACCTGCACATACATGTATGAAGGCCAGAGGCTGATGCTGGTATGGATTCATCAATATTGCTCTCCAGCCTTCTTGTTGAGACAGTTTCTTCCCTGAGCATAAAGCTAGTTGTTTTAGCTTGACTGGCTAGGCAATGAGGCCCTAGGATTTACCTATCTCTTCCTCCCAATGCTAGAGTTACAGATATATGAGGCAACTCAGACTCTTGTAAAATGAGGTAATTCAGACTCCTGAAATTCTTTTAAATTTTTTAAGACAGAGTCTCACTGTGTAGTCCTGGCTGGTCTGGTACTTGCTGGCCTTCGACTCACAGAGATCTGCCCACCTCTATCTCCAGAGTTCTGGGATTAAAGGAATATGCCACCACTCAGCTTTTACGTGGGTGCTAGGGATCCAAACTCATGTCCACACGCTTGCCCAGCAAGTATGTTACCTACTGGGCCATCTCCTCAACCCTCCTGAAATAATTTGAGGCTGCCATTTGGGAGTAGAATTTGTTTAAATACACATCTTAAATACATAAAACAGTGAAAGGGATGCTGGAGAAGAAAGAAGGCACACAGCATTAAGGTTTTAAAACACTTAAAGTGTTTTAAGCTTGTGCAAGGGAGTTTCACATGCTGTCTCACTGACTTCTCTACTTTCTGCATGGAAGTGATCATCTATCACATTCTTACAACAAGGAGACTCAAAAATGTCAAGTGATGTGCCCAAAGACCACATGGTTTCAGAAATATGTGGACACACATAGGCATAATACATGCCTACCACAGTGAAAACTACTCTACCACTTTGAGAAGTTGTAGAAGCCACAGTGGGCAGATTTCAGTAAGGGAAAGTGTTCTTAATAATCAGATCTCACCTGACAATGTTTGCTCTCAGTAGCCCAGATGCTTTCTCTCCAAGGAACTGGAGAGGTTGGAGAAAGGTTGCCTTGGTTCTGGGAGGTTGCCACGAGTGTGAGCATAGAATCACTTTGGGGGTCTCTCACAATTCTGAGTATCTCTCAGCTGCAAACAACTAATCCTGAGGCCTTGGGGCATTAATTTCCTCTTCAATTATGGAGCTAATTGCCAGTTTCTAGGCTGCATAAGCTTTATCTATCCAAAGCAATGTGAACTATGATATGGGATTTTAAAATTTAACTATAGGAGCATTTCTTCAAATTAATTATAGATAGATAGACAGACAGACAGACAGATAGATGTGTAGATGGATGAGTTAAAGAATCATTTGAAATCATCTATCTAAGTATTTATCATCTACTTTGGCTCCAAGGGTCACTGTGGGCTTGCAAATTAACCATGACAACTTTGTGTTAGGGGTTATTTTCCTTTTATATCTAGTACTAAATGAATCCCCTCAAATCTGGTATTATTTAAGGAACATAAAACATGGTATTTCAGGATATCTTGTCCCTTTCCACTTCTCTGGAGCACCATGTATATCTCTCTTAGGGTCCTCCTTGTTTCCTAGCCTCTCTGGCAGTGTGGATTGTAGGCTGCTACTCCTTTGCTCTAG